CATCTCTGCTAGCAGAAAATGAAAATCATACAACATGAAGCCAACAGCCAGTAACTGCTTCAGATATTTAGTACTGCTAAGGAAAAAACAGAATTCTTAATGTTCAGCTGGTGCCCCTTGGCACATAAATGTCAGGGGTGGAATGCTACTTTTTATGGCCAGGGAATCCAATTAACATGGGGTCGGGGACACTGAGAATTATAAAATGAATGGGTATATTCAGGGGTGGGGCTGCTGGGGGTTCACAGGGGTTCAGGAGAACCTCTAGCTAAGATTCTGTGCAGTTTGGAGAACCCCCAAATCCCACTCTTGGCTGGCCCCGCGCACCCCTCCCCTCCCAGAAGTCCCCATGTGGCCCCTTTTTGGATGCAGGTAAGTACAAGGTGCACACGGGGGCTCAGGGAGGGAGAAAAATGGGCCTACTGGAAGTTCAGGAAGGCCGGAAATGGGCCCGTTTCCAGCCTCCAGAGGGACTCTGGAGCCTGGGGAGGCTGTTTTCGCCCTTTCGGAGGCTTGAGGAAAGACTCTGGAGCCTGGGGAGGGCAAAAATGCCTGTTACACAGCACTAGGGACTCAAACAGCTGAACTGCCAACCTTTCGGTCGACAAGCTCAGCATCTTAGCCACTGAGCCACCGCATCCCGTTCCTCTTAATTGACCCCGATAAATGCAAATGGACATTTCCTCATTTATGTCATGAGTGGCATTCGTCACCTTACTGAAATATTTGTCATTCCTGTTTTCCTTGAGCTTGGCCAACCGCTTCAGGTTCGCAGGGTTGGCCGACTTTTGGAATTTTTCATTGTTTATTACTTAATTCCTTTCCAGCTTATACTACAGTTTGTTTCTATGGAGAAAGTATGAGAAAATTCTACAGGTTACAAAAAAGCAATAGCACTTAGACTCACTGTGCTTCCTGAAAATAAGACCCTGTCTTATATATTTTTTTTGCCACTAAAAAAGGCACCAGGTCTTATTTTCGGGTGATGTCATCCACTGACTAACCTCACTTGCGCACGTCACCCATTGCCTCCTTTTCGCTGTCAGAGGCCTTCAGGAACTTCTGTGACTGGCAAGGCTTTGCTGAAGGCCTCTGCAGCTGATAACAGAGCTCCAGATCGATCCGGAGTTTTGTTATCAGCTACAGAGGCCTTCAGAAAATCTCGGGCCAGCAAGGCAGGTGTTGGGGTATGCGAGGCCTGGCTACAACTGTCCAAAGGTAAGTAGTAGGGCAACTCCACCCTTCCATCCCCACCCTAGGTTAATTTTTACCTGTGTACTTTGGAGTGGGTGGGATCTTAATTAGGGCTTATTTTGAGGGTAGGATTTATATTGGGCACATGTAAAAATCAAGCTAGGGTTTACTTTCAAGGTAGGTCATATTTTCAGGAAAACAGGGTATATACTGCTTTACAGAGCTCTACAGCCCTCTCTAAGCGGTTTACAGAGTCAGCATATTGCCCCCAACAATTTGGGTCCTCATTTTACCCACCTCGGAAGGACGGAAAGCTGAGATAACCTCAAGCCTGGTGAGATTTGAACTGTCAAATTGCAGTCAGCCGGCAGGCAGCAAAAGTAGCCTGCAGTACTGCACTCTAACCACTGCGCCATCGCGGCTCATGTGAATGTGATCCTAGAAACCACATTTGGCTTCAGAGTTGGAGGCCGGCCCAGCTGTAATGCATTCAACTACTTTAATATCTATTTTTTCATCTTCCTAGTAGATAGATGTGTCTGTTAGTCTATGGTTTTTTTTTAAAAAATGGGAAAATTAAAAGGATAAAAAAAACCCAATGTTTGCTGACGAAATGGAGGCCCATATTTATCTCACTTTGGAATCAACCAAAGGTTTGAAAATCAACTTTTCACTTGGCTTGTAAGGGCTATTCACCAATCCTTGGATGTAGAGTTATTTAGGGGTTTTCACTCAATACAATATAGGCATTGATCCATCTGGCGCAATGCATCATAATCTCATTTTAAAAGACTAATTGGGGAGAGGACTCACAATTATGCAAATTCTGTGAATCATAGCGGAAATCTGGTTGGCTGTATGCAAACTCTTTGGCTCCAAAGTCCAGTAATTCAAATTTTCACTTTATTGCCAAAAGTGAATAGCAATTTTAAACAAAAGGTTTTTTTTAAAGGGTCTACTTCAAGATATTAGGAAATGAGAATTTTATTTACATATTTATTTACCTTAGCGTATCTCTGATGGAAAGAGGTGATTTAGAAATAGGAAATATAAAATAAATAAATCAATAAATATTTATACAGCCATCCAGCTCACAAACACATGAGTTTGGTGAGCTGTACAACACAATGGTTAAAAACTCCAAAACAATCTAAAAAGAAATAAATAAAAAATTAACAGATAAACAGGAAAATAAAAAGATAAAATCCAAGAATGTGGGTGGAATTCATTGTTGGAATGTATTTTTTATGCAACAACTACAGTGGTATTCAGCCAGTAGATGGCAGTGTTTACAAGTTTGGATCTATGGCATATACTGTACTCTATGCTCTGTTGTTCTTAGTACAGTTTCCTGTTTCTTGTTACAGTTAAAAACAGTTGAGCAGTAAAGCACATGGTGACTGTGCCATTGTTTGCTCTGTGGTGCTATATATAAACAGAATTTCTAACATGGACATAGATCACTTAATCTCAGACAGCCATCTTGCATTCCCTTAGGCTGGTGAAAAAATGTGTTTTAAGGATCTTCTGGAAGGCTAACAGAGATGGGGCTCTCCTCACCTTGGGTTTAATGATGTTCCAGAGAGTAGGGGACACAGCAGAAAAGGCACACTGCCTGGGTCCCACCAGATGGAACTCCTTTGGAGACAGTACCCACAGCAAGCCTTCTGCCTCACCTGGTGGGATGGGTAGTTGTAACAGGGAAGAGGTAGTCCCTCAGATAATTTGGTTCTATGCCTTCAAGATCAAAATCAGCATCTTGAGTTGCATCTGGAAGGAAACTGGTAACCAATGTAGCTCACTAACAGATATTTTCCTAGGGGACATACATAATTGTCTGTCTAGGAATAGTGTGGTGGCCTAGAGGTGGGTGGAGCTCTCGCCTAACAACCAGGAGGCTGTAAGTTCTATCCTAGGTAGAGGCAGATATTTCTCTCTCTGGGCACAATGAGAATATATCTACTAAACAAAACTCCGCATTGGTGACAGGAAAGGCATCCGGCTAATAAACACCCTGCTAGCTCCATTCAGTTGCCCAGATTCCAACCCGCAAGGGATTATGGGGTCATTAAAAGAAGATGATCATACATAATTGTCTGTTTAGCTGCATTCTGCACCAGATGAAGCTTCCAGATGTCCTTCAAGCGAAATGTTTTTTTCATGCAAAACAGGTATTCATTTCGGCAGGGATGACAATTGAAGGCTGTGTTCCCATTTCTCTCCTTCTTTTCAGGTTTTCTAATTTCCCTCCCCACATAGGACACATTTATTTTTTAAAAAAATGTCTAGATAATGATTAAAAAATATACCAAACAACCACAGGCTGTAGCTCTATGAATCATAACAAGACATTTATTTTGACACTAGAGGACACCATTGTGAATTAAACAGTAGAATGGAGAAAATGGTGTCGTTGGCAGATAAATTGAATGACGATGCTTTCAACTTTAGCAAGAGCAAAAGAAGCATATTCTCTTTGGAAACATACATCCCTCAGCAAAACAATGTAAGACGGTTGAGAAAGCAAAGCTTGCTAGATAAACTATATCTCCAAAAATAAGACCCTGTCTTATATTTTTTTTGCACCCTGAAATAAGCGCTTGGCCTTATTGCCATGCGCTCAAAAGCCCGATTGGGCTTATTATCAGGGGATGTCTTATTTTGGGGGAAACAGGGTAGATTATATAGCGCTTCTCAGTGCTTTTACAGCCCTCTCTAAGCAGTTTACAGAGTCAGCGTCTTGCCCAACAATCTGGCTCCTCATTTTACCGACTTCGGAAGGAGGGAAGGCTGAATCAACCTTGAGCCGCAGTGAGAATCGAACTGCTGGCAGCGAGCAGAGTTAGCCTGCAATACTGCATTCTAACCACTGCACCACCACGGTTCTTTAAGGCCAAAAGGCTAAGCTTAGAAAAACAAGGAAACAAATTAAAACTTGGTTTGCATTCCCAATAAAATAAGGGGGTGGGGTGGGGTGGGAAGCTAATTTTTCTTTGTTGAATTTTAGAACTTCAGCGAAATCGACAGGAAGCAGCAGAATCAAAACAGTCTTCTAAGCAGGCACTAACTCTGCTAAAAAAAAATAATGAATACAGGTAGTCCTTCGACTTACGACCGCAAACTGAGTCCAAAATTTCCGTTGCTAAGTGAGACCTTTGTGAAGTCAGTTTTGCCCCATTTTACGACCTTTCTGGCCACCGTGGTTAAGTGAATCACTCCAGTTGTTCCGTTAGGAACATGGTTGTTAAGTGAATCTGGCTTCCCCGTTGGTTTTTGGTCATCGGAAGGTTTGCAAAAAGGGATCACAAGACCCCTGGGACACTGCAACTGTCATAAATATGAGTCAGTTGCCAAGCAATAGCAATAGCACTTAGACTTATATACCACTTCACAGTGCTTTCCAGCCCTCTCTAAGTGGTTTACAGAGTCAGCCTCTTGCCCCCAACAATCTGGGTTCTCATTTTACCCACCTCGGAAGGACGGAAGGCTGAGTCAACCTTGAACCTGGTGAGATTTGAACTGCCAAATTGCAGGCAGCCGGCAGTCAGCAGAAGTAGCCTGCAGTACTGCGCTCTAACCACTGCGCCACCACGGCTCTGAATTTTGATCACGTGATGACTGGGCTACTGCAAGTGTGGTTGTAAGAGTCTGATGGTTGTAAGTGTGAGAAACGGTCATCGGTCCCCTCTTTTTCACTGCCGCGGTAACTTTGAACGGTCACTAAACAGACTGTTGTAAGTCGAGGACTACCTGTACAGCTGGAGCCATGACAGTTACCTTTATTATATTTAATTTAGCATTATTACCTTCATTCTCTTCCTTTGTCAGAGGAAAGCTTCCTCCATTGGAAGAAGGGAATCTTTGGATCCAACCCATTAGATTAAGATCTGTATGGGGAGAGGAAATCGTCCATTCAGGCCTACAGATTGATGGTCCTTATAGCATTTATCCAGGTACTATCAATTACTGGAATTGTCATTTTTCAACAGGCAACACAGTAGGTTTTACAACAGTCATTTTACTCAGATCATTTTCTTTCACTTAAGCATTCTTAGCATAGAGCAAATAATTCACACAGCTGGTTAAAGATTAAAACAAATTTTAAGATGCAGAATATTGCTTTAAAAATTGCTTTTTTTCATAGCATCTAAGAGCACTAACAAATTAATAAGGTGCTTTCTATTATTCATTCCCATCCGTTACAAAATAACGAATTAACGATGAGTTCTCCGAATATATTTTCAGTTTATGGGAACGCACTAAACTCTAAAAATAAAAGTATAAAATATTCACACTTTTTCTTAAAAAACAAACAAACTGACAGACAAGTGCTTTTTATCAATTCAAGACACGTATCAAAAATAAGAAGGAAATGAGAGAGGGACAAAATAATTATTTTACACTGCGGATGTGATAAATGTAAAACCTGCCCTCCTCCTCCAAGATAAAGCTGTAATAAAATCCAATGCAACTTAATTACAAAATGTAAAAAAATTACAAGGTTTAGCAGTGTGTTAATATAATGTATAGCATGAAAGAACATTCTAGAATGGTAGACTTTCAGCTACTATTACCATGCTAGGCAAGAAATTTTTTGTGCTTGTATTGACATCCTGTAGAACAGGGTGTCAAACTCAAGGTACGGATCCGGCCCATGGGATACTTAGATCTGGCCCACAGGCTCCCCCTGGAATTACCCGCTGCCAGCAAAAATGGACTCCGGAGGCTGCGTGCAGCTCACCTGGGCTCTGTTTTCACTGGCAGGAGGCCGTTGTGGCTGAAAATGGAGCCTAGGCGGGCTGCATGCAGCCTCTCTGAGCTCTGTTTTCACTGGCAGAGGTTGCAAGGAGGCCATCACGGCCGAAAATGGAGCCTCGATGAATGACGTCAAGCTGGCCACTCCCACCCTGGCCACGCCCCCCCCAAGGTCACACACAACCCTGATGCGGCTGTCAGGTTTCGGTGTCGTCTCAAATAAACTGCATTTCCAAACAAATAGTCTTTGATGAAATCTTTCATTTATTAAGCACGACAATCTGTTCCCGACTACGTCGTAGCCAACACTGACTTCCTGACCCCAAACCTTCCCTTTCCGTTCCCCAATTCTCTGCGTCTCATTGGCCATCTTCCAAATCACTCTCCCCATATCTACTACTTCAGCTCCCAGGAATGCCCCCCCTCCCATCCCATCTCCTAGGGGATATTATCTTCAGGGAAAATAAGTAGGTGAAAAGTCAAGCGTCCTCTTGCCAGATGCCCCCTCTTCTCCTCCTTATGTCAGCACTGGAATGAATGTAGTTTGGAGTGCTGACAGCGGCCCTCAATGAAATCAAGTTTGACACCCCTGCTGTAGGAGATACAAGTGAAATATTTTGAAACATATTCACTACTGTTGTCAATATGAAACTGTATTAGACTAAATTGTGGAAAGGAAGAGAAAGGCAAGATTAGTAACGAAGTAGGTGGACTCAATTAGAGTGGTGACAGATGGAGCCTCGGAAATGGCCCATTGACAAAGGGTGGGGGGGGGGAAGAAAGTAGGAGCTGCTTCATCTTTAAAACATGCTGCTCCATTTCTCATCCAGGGAAACATAATATTCTGCCTTTTTAATATTTCCTAAAATATTTCATTCTTCTAGGAAAGGGGTGGGTGCTAACTTCCTACAGTTAAGTGAGAAGGTATTTAATGATCACACCAGTCAGAAATGGACTTGTTGATCCCAATGGCTGTTGTTAAGTGAGGACTATGTTAATCAGGATGTCATCAGCATGGTTGTGCACAGTATTTTTTGCCTTTTTTCCTACAGGTAGTCCTCAACTTGCAATAGTTCATTTAGTCACCGCTCAACAGCACTGAAAAAAGTTATTCATGACTGTTTTTCACACAACCATTGCAGCCTCCCCATGGTCACAGGATCAAAATTCAGATGCTTGGAAATTGACTCATATTTATGACGGTTGCAGTGTCCCGAGCTTGGATAAATATATATATATATGTATATCAGATGATCAGTTGGGCCCGCCCACCTGCCCCTGCTCTATCCTGTCCTTTATTTCCTGCTTTGTAGCTCATCTCATCACCGCGCGGTACAGCTGATTCCCCCCCCTCACTCTTCTACTTATCATTGCTGATCTGGAAGGTAAGCAGCTGAGCTTATAAATGCTCCATTGTTAAGAGCCTTGGTGGCGCAGCAGACTAAAGTGCTGTTAAGTAGCACCAGCTGCCTGCAATTACTGCAAATTCAAATCTCACCAGGCTCAAGGTTGACTCAGCCTTCCATCCTTTCGAGGTAGGTAAAATGAGGACCCGGATTGTGGGGGCAATAAGCTGGCTTTGTATAAAAAAGAACACCGCTTGGGGGGGGGGCGAAAGCCCTACTAAGCAGGTATATACAAAAGTATGAAGGCTATTGCTTAACGCATTGTAAGCTGCCCTGAGTCTCCGGAGAAGGACGGCATATAAATCGAACCAATAAATAAATAAATAAATAAATAAATAAATAAATAAATAAATAAATAAATAAATAAATAAATAAATAAATTTTCAGCACTGCGCGCAAGCGACCTTACTCTCACACACTCACCAAACCTGTTGCTAAACTGGCAGCATTCCACCTCAGATAGATAGATAGATAGATAGATAGATAGATAGATAGATAGATAGATAGATAGATAGATAGATACAGGTCTTTGGTTATCCGATCAGAGCACAGCCAAACCCCCAACCAATCAGAACACACCACCTCCACCCAATCAGAACACAGCCAAGCTCCCACCCAATCAGTTCACACCCCCACTGGCAGTTAAAAGGAAGAAACAGCTGCGATCACACACATTGCTCCTAGAAGCACGAAGCCGAGAACACCAGCCTGAAGATGACAAATGAGACTTCATCGAAACATTGCCAAGACACCTCCAATTTTACGCGGGAGAAAACCCGTATAACCAAAGACCTACATACAAACACCCGCGAAAACCTCAGAAAATATATATATATATATAATTTAAAATGATAAATGAACCTATTTATCTACTCGTATTTGCATGCTTTTGAACTGCTAGGGGGCAGGAGCTGAGGGAAGGACAGGAGCTCACCCCATCGAGCAGCATTTGGGTCTCGAACCTGCGGTATCAGCTTTACACACACACATATCATTGATTGATTGATTGATTGATTGATTGATTGAAGGCTGCGTTCAGAAAAGTAAACAAAAAGTAACGAACCCACCCCCAAACTTATAACATCTTCTTTTATGAAACCCAAGGAGCTGGTTAGAGTTATTGATTCAACACTTCTAGTCTGTTTCCCAATTTTAAAATGACAAGGATTGTTACCCAATCACTTACAGACAGCCCTTGATTTACAACCATTCATTTAGTGACCATCTGACACTGAAAAAAGTGTCGTATGACTGGTTTTTTTTTTTTTTTTACACGTATGACCATTGCAGCGTTGCTGGGGCTAGGAACGGGAGCTCAACCCATCCCATGATTCTCGGGTCTCGAACCCAGATTGTCAGCTTTCCATCTGACAAGCTTAGCATCTTTAACCACTGAGCCATCACAATGAATAACCTTTGCGCCTGCATCTGAATCCCGTCTGCACCTACTATGCTCTTCATTTATGAAAAGCAGAGAACCGAGAAATCACAGTGAAATAAAGAATTGTGGTCAATGCTTTCTAAATGAGGCAGGATTCATGGCGAATAATCCAATCTCCTGGGTTAGATATAAAAAAAGGTAAACGGTTTTTTTTCTGACTCTAGGGGGTTATGACACTTCTGTAGTCATGTGGCTGGTATGACTATACATTGAAGCGCATGGAATGCTCTTACTTTCCCACCAAAGTGGTACCTATTTATCTACTTACATTTGCATGCTTTTGAACTGCCAGGTGGGCAGGAGCTGAGCAAGGATGGGAGCTCACCCTGTCGTGCGGCACTTGGGTCTCGAACCCGGGTATCAGCTTTCCAGCTGACAAGCTCAGCAGATTTAACCACTGGGCCATCAGGATGCATAAACTTTGTGCCTGCGTCTCAATCCCTTCTGCACCTACCATACTCTTCATTTATGAAAAGCAGAGAACTGAGAAATCACAGTGAAATAGAGAATTATGGTCAATGCTTTCTAAACGAGGCAGGGTTTATGGCGAATAATCCAAGCGCCTAGATTAGATATAAAAAAGGCAGAGTTTTCTCCTTTCTGGTCATGTCTGACTCTAGGGGATGAAGTTCATCTCTGCTTCCTACCTGGGAGACCCAGCGTTGTCTGAAGACGCTTCCGGGATCATGTGGCTGGCATGACTATACACTGATGTGTACCTTTCCACTGAAGTGGTACCTATTTATCTACTTATATTTGCATGCTTTTGAACCTAGTTAGGTAAAGGTAAAGGTTCCCCTCGCACATATGTGCTCGTCGTTCCCGACTCTAGGGGGTGGTGATCATCTCTGTTTCAAAGCCGAAGAGTCAGCATTGTCCAAAGACATCTCCGTGGTCATGTAGCCGGCGTGACTAAATGCCAAAGGCGCACGGAATGCTGTTACCTTCTCACCAAAGGTGGTCCCTATTTTTCTACTTGCATTTTTTATGTGCTTTCGAACTGCTAGGTTCGCAGAAGCTGGGACAAGTAATGTGCGCTCACCCCATTATGCAGCACTAGGGATTCGAACCGCTGAACTGCCGACCTTTCAATCGACAAGCTCAGTGTCTTAACCACTGAGCCACCGCATCCCATTTTAAATGATAAATGAACCTATTTATCTACTTGTATTTGCATGCTTTTGAACCGCTAGGTGGGCAGGAGCTGAGGGAAGGACGGGAGCTCACTCCATCGGGCAGCATTTTGGTCTCGAACCTGTGGTATCAGCTTTACATCTGACAAGCTTAGCAGATTTATCTACTCGCAATTGCATGCCTTTGAACTGCTCGATTGGCAGATGTGCACACTAGCCGACAAATCCCATGCATGAATTTTCACCGTTAAGAAAAGCGTGGTATTTTTTCCCCCCCATTTGACAGAGTGGAGTTAAAGTGACCCAATGTATTTTTGTACCATCATTTTATGCCGTCTTGGGAAATCTGCAGGAAAATTCTGAGTGCTATTATGCATTTATTTCGGTCAGTCTAATGCACATACAGCATGATCCTTGGAGGACGGCCAGGGGTTTAAAATAGAAACGGGGAATGAAATTGATGAAGTGTATATTAGAAAGGGGGAGAAAATGTTCCCTTGAAGTATTTGCTATGTAACCTCTATTACTATTTCATATGACGTAATGTGTTTGGATAACGAACACCGCGAGGGTTCTAAGCGGATGTGTTAAAACTACTCCAACTTGCTATGGCTTCTTGTTCTGAACCATACAGTAATGGCCAAAATTGTGGAAACCTTTTGGGGGAAAAGTGAATTTTCTAAAACTAGCTAATAACACCACTTTTTTTGGGGGGGGGGAATAGTACCATAAAATTATATATCAATGGAAAGATAATTGAATCAAGAATGTAATGCAATAACTTTTAGGAAGGACTTGCTATTAGAATAGCAGTTACAGTATAAAGAAGAAAAGTGAAACATGTAGGAAAAACGAGTTTTACAAAAATGATCCCCATAGAAAAAATGAGATATACAAAAATGATCCCCATCTCAGTTAATCCTTAGTTGGGTAACCTTTAGCATGAATGATGGCCTTACAACGTCTTCCCATGGAGTCAACCAAGTCTTTGAGTTCTGCAGCTGTTCTAATGTGAAACCAAGTTTGACTGTATAATAATAATAATAAAAAACCCATTATTAACTGGGTTTTATTGCTGGGTTGTTTCTGACTAACAAGTTTCTTTAACTGGCTCCATAGATTTTCAATTGGGTGAAGGTCTGGGCTATTCCCAGGCCATTCTAGCAGTGGAATAAGATTATCCTGAAACTCCCCCCAAAAAAGTGGTGTTATTATCCATCAAACCTCAAAAGTATACTTTTCCCAAACTCAAATCCAGGAAGTCCCCACGGGAACTCTCACAACATCTGGATCCCACAACTTTAACACTGATGGCCAATGGAAAGCCAAATGGCTTTCCAGTTATAGCAAGATATACAAAGGACGAGAACGGAGAGGCTCATTCTCTGAGCTTTGGGTTGGTTTCCGAATGTCTCATTACCAGGCAAGGTAACATCTTCAGCAGAGTTTAGGAGATGTCAGTGACGGTGTTCTTCTATTGATAAGGGCTTCGTGTGGTCAGTGGGTCTTCTGAGGGGGAGGTCATGTCAGGTGAGGGTCACATCAGGTGAGGGTCTTTTAATGGGTCTTGAGACCCACTGACCATACAAAGCCTGTCAGGGTTCCGACGGATGCCCTAATTAAATCATGAGCCTCGAGCCAAGCTTCAAAAGAAATCCAGTTATTTATTAGGAGCGTCATGTCAGCACGTTCCCAAGTGAAGCCAGCTCTGACCCTACATAATTTATGCTCCAATTATGACCCTGTTTCCCCCCTCCCCCCAGGGTGTGTCATCAATCATATTCACCAACAGAGCAATTTCATGGGTTGTAGAGGTCACTGCCCTCCGGCTGCTGTAGGTAACCCTGGAATACAGCCTTGAGAGAGATAAGCATGGAATGTGCATCTGTCTTTGGCTGCCATGCCATTTCACCAGTTTCCCATCCCCCCCTGGACTATGGCAACTTGAAAGCAGGCCAGGGATGCTTTGCAAGTTGACAAAGCCCTAATCAGCAGAAGAACACAACATCAGGGAGGATCTCCAAACTTGTCAACCTTAAGACTTGTGGACTTGAACTCTCAGAATTCCTCACCAAGCCATCCTAGCTGGGGATTTCTGGGAGTTGAGATCCACAGGTCTTAAAGGGGCCAACTTTGGAGACCCCTGATTTAAATAAATAATCTGTATAAGTCCCTGTATAACTCTCATTCCATCATACATGATCCTGGCTGCGTCAGTAGAATGACATCATTCGTAGGAGTGGATCCCACTGAATTAAGAGCTAGGAGGGACTTATTTCCTTTTCAACAAGTAGTACTTACTCAATGAAGTAGACTTCCCCTTTCTCTGTGTAAGCCATTTCCCAATTATCCGGCAAGGGGCCCAGTTCATCGTTTTCTTCAAGTTTTGGATGCTTAGTTACATCCATTTCCTCTTTCACTTCTTCTGGCTGGCTATAAACAGGAGCAGGATAAGGCTGAGAGGAAGTTTCTCCTGAGGCACCTGTGCTTTTCTCCTCATGTTCACTTGACTCTGTATGAATAAAAACATGGACATCATTTGTAAAAGTGAAAGTTTTCCCTGTTGTGGTCCGCCAGCAGCCTGCGGAGCTGGTAGCGGAGTTGGACAGTGATGAGGCTGAGGAAGAACATGGGCCAGTCCTGGAGTCTGGGGAGGGCCCGGAGGAGGGCTCTGCGTCAGAGGTAGAGATGGGGCCAGGGCCATCGGGGAGCGATGCATGGACTCCGGAGCCTCCAGAGGTGGACAGCAGAGAGGCAGAGGAACAGAAGGAGCCTGTTCCTAGTGCACACATGCGCAGAGCTGCCAGAAAGCAAGAGCAGCTAAAGCCAAAAGGACGACTTGGGAGTAAGGCTATGAGATGATTGGCCCCTCCCTCCCTCCCTCTCTCTTTCTCTCTCTCTCTCCATCTATAAACTACATAGTTTTCTTCCACTGGCAGTCATTTTTTTCTTGTAAGGTGGTTGTATTCCAAGAAACACAATAATGTTACAGGGATGGAAAGCTTTTTTATCTGAATAAAATCCTCTCGGGATCTTGCAGTGGTTTAATCTCTTTATATCATTATTTTTTTTCTACAAACCGAAGGGAATTCCCTTGATTTTTGGCTCCAGCGGCAACAATTTTGCGCTACTACTTTGGTAAGTGACTCTGTTTCTACCTGAAGCTACATATGTATTGCCTACAGAGACAAATCATATTTGGCGCGAAGTATTTTCTTCACTTAAAGTGAAGGATTGACTTAAAAATACGAACTGCACGACTACACGATATTCTGAGTCGCAAAGTTTTTAAGACAGGCAAATCTTTCCAGATTTGCTGAAAACGAGGTTCTAAATTAAGTCTTCCCTTCCTGTAACCAATGGAAACAAGCCTTGCATTTTTCGGCGACCTACTTTCAAAAATTAAGCTGCATCACAGAAGGAGGATAAAAGCACAGACAGAGTTCAGAGAAGTTCAGAGAAGCCTGCGTGGCAGCGTTTCCACTCTCCGATGTGTCCAAAGGATTATCAACGGTGAAATCTGAACCGGTTTACTAGCAGTTCGCTGGTTGTGCATGCGCATTGCTCACCATGCACCAAATGCAAGGTGCATATAGCATGCGTGCACAGTGCACGCCAAAAGGAGGCATGGAGTAAGTAGAACAGCACGTGCACGGAATTGGGGGGGGGTGTGATCAGCTGTGGCGTGCAATTTTTTATTTTACCTTTTAAAAACATTTTATTTACAACCTATTCGCCCGAAAATGCTTTTAAAAAATGCTTTTAAAAATAAAAAAAAAAAAGGCTCTGATGATCGCGCAGCTCAGCTGTGATCGTCAGAGCCTTTTTTTTTAACCTCTTAAAAGCAAAAAAAGCAAAACCTTCCGCACATGCGCAGAGGGTACAAAATTCATTACTTCCTGGTTAAAACCAGGAAGTAACGACAACCGGGTGGGTGGGCGGAGCCTCGTGCCACGATTGCTACCGGTTCTCCAAACCACCTGCCACGATTGCTACCGGATTGGGTGATCCGGTCTGAACTGGGAGCATTTCACACCTGGGTTGGTGGAATAACTTCATTCTTGATGACTACAGGACATGAAGAATGGCTCTGGGCTCCATCTTTACTCCCTCCAGCTAATAGGAGAAGCCAATGGGAAAAGCCAATGGTAGAAGGCTTAAGTCTTAGCGGACAACGAGTTAAATATGAGCTAGCAGTGTGCAGCGGCAGCCAAAAATGCCAATGCAGTCTGTTAAATTGCATTAACAGAGGGATATAATCAAGATCAAGTGAGGTACTAATATCACTCTATAAAGCCTTAGTAAGACCACACCTAGAATACTGCATCCAGTTTTGGTCACCACACTATAAAAAGATGTTTAGACTCTAGAAATAAAGTGCAGAGAAGAGCAACCAGGATGCTTCGGGGGCTGGAGGCTAAAACATACAATGAACGGTTGCAGGAACTGGGCATGGCTAGTCTAGCGAAGAGAAGGACCAGGGGAGACATGATAGACAATATTTGAGGGGCTGCCAGAGAGAGGAGGGGCGTCAAGCTATTTTCCAAGGCACCTAAAGGCCAAACAAGGAATAATGGCTTAGGACCTGGTTATTTACGGGACCGCCTACTACCACAAACAGCCTCCCACCGGCCGGTACACTCCTCCGGGTGCCGTCAGCCAAGCAGTGTCGACTGGCGGCCCCCAGGGGGAGGGCCTTCTCTGTGGGGGCACCCACTATCTGGAACGAGCTCCCCCCAGAGATACGGAGGATCCCAGATCTGCGCACTTTCCACCGTGCTCTTAAGACCCTCTTATTCCAGCAAGCCGGCCTGGCCTAATTTTCTCCCCTTTCTTTTAAATTTTTAAACTGAAATTTTAATTTGTTTTAAATTATTGGGATTTTAATTGTCTTGGGCTAAATTATTTAATTTGGTTTTAAATTGTTTCTAACTTTTGTATTTCTGTATTTTATCCTGTGCCTGTTCACCGCCCTGAGTCCTTCGGGAGTAGGGTGGTATACAAATTTAATAAAACAAACATAAACAAACAATGGATGGAAACTGACCAAGGAGAGATTCAACCTGGAAATAAGGAGAAATTTTCTGACAGTGGGAACAATCAACCCATGGAACAGAAGTTGTGGGAGCTTCATCACTGGAAGCTTTCAAGAAGAGACTGGACTGCCATCTGTCAGAAATGGTGTAGGGTCTCCTGCTTGGGTGGGGGGTTGGACTAGATGACCTACAAGGTCCCTTCCAACTCTGTTAATCTGTTCAAGGCAAAAAAAAGGGACCATGTATTCCTGCACTACAGCAGTCCCTGGAGTAACAAATACTGTTTGCTCTACAAAGTAAACCAAATCATGCTGATTTTGCATGAAGACCAGAACTTCACATTATTGAGGTAGACCATACCAAGAGAACTTTGCAATTCTAACTGCGGTTTTCCTTCTCTTCGTCTGAGACTCCAGGGAATCACAAAAGGGCCAGTTTGAGTCCTTTACTAATTTACTATTAGTCTCTTACTAATACTGGGTTTAATATTTTACTCCTCTGGGCTTAACACCTGCTTGAGAACCTACTAAAGGAGAATATTTGTAGTTTAGGGTTGAAATGAGAGCAACGGCTCTTGGCCTCTTTGCCGGAAAACAACGTTGAGAGAATTGCTTCTTGTTTCACTGTATTCCTTTCTTATCGGCGTCTTCTGCTTCTGAACTTTTGCCAAGAGAAGCCTTTGGCAGTTTGCCTAATTATCCCAAGGTCGGTGATAAACTGAGGAATGGTGTTTTGAAGAATTTGCTTTACTTTAGTTTGGACTACGCTGAGAATGAGTTAATTCTCAGCTGTTCTAATAAAGTCTGTTTGTTTTCAAACTGTTTGTTATTTAATACTAACTCCTTGGGCCTGGATCACAACACACCTGCTATTCAATAACCAGCAACCTTGGAAACAGTATTTTCCTTCATATTTGTTGCATCCACAACCATTCTATTTTGAAAATGCATCACACCGCCATCCCAGATTTTATTCAACGATATTTAATCATTGTAGCATGGAAGATGGGTTAAATGGTCTCCATTTTCCTTGTCGCATTAGCTTCTGGCTTTGAATCACCTATCAGGTGATTGCAAATTTAACTTGCCCTTAGGAAATACCTAATTAAAAGAACGTTTCCATATTCACAGGCAACAACTTAATGGATTTCCTGTAATTCAGGGGGAAAAAAAAAAACCACCCCTTCACAGAGATATAAATTTACTCTTGTTTTATTTAGGTTTCATGGTTAATGCTAACCATTAACAATCTGTTCGAATATTTCTAGACAGAGAAATATTTTTCAGTTCAGGAATTAGGTGGGTGCAGTTGGGGAAAAAAAATCTGCAGAAAAAATGCAGACTGGAAGAAGAATGGAAGGCATTACGCTTCATAGAGATAAGCTATGCTCATGTCATTTTTTATATTCTAAACTATACATCACTTTAAAACTGACTTTGGCTTCTTCCTGGCTGCAGATATGGAATGGATCCAGCAATATTTCTGTGCATTAAAAAAAAAAAAAAAGGAGGCCTCAAACATTGGTTATGAATAATACAAAAGATTTTCATCTCACTTGGAACTGTATACTGCAGTTACATAATTTATTTAAAAATCAACCACGCTGGACTTTTAATTATTTTAAAAGCAGGATTTCCATGAATGACTTGGGTCTTTTGCTCCATACAGGTAGACCTCGGGTTATTCGACCACAATTGAGCCCAACATTTCCGACGTTAAGCAAGACATTCGTTAAGTGAGTTTCCTGGAACAAAAATTCAGAATCCTGAACTAGAGGGAAGGAATCTTAAATATTCCTGGATGAGAGTGTCTTCTCCTCTGTGAGATATAAAGGGATGGTTTATATGTGATTATCTGTGTGCAAATGCTGAGTATAAAACATAATAACAGAATAACAAAGCTGGAAGGGAGCTTGGAGGTCTTCTAGTCCAACCCGTCCTCAAGCAGGAGAACCATCATTTAGCTGATGACACTCAGCTTTATATCTCCACCCCGGACCACCCTGGGGAGGCCCTTTCCGTGATGTCCCGCTGCCTGGAAGCGGTGCGGGCCTGGATGGGAAGAAACAGACTCAGACTCAACCCATCCAAGACTGAGTGGCTGTGGATGCCGGCATCCCGTGATCTAATGGTCCCGTCATTTGTGATAGGAGGGGAGGTACTCACTCCCTCAGAAAGGGTTTGCAATCTTTATTTTTTATTTATCTGATTTGATTTCTATACCGCCCTACTCCCGAAGGACTCAGGGCGGTGAACAGCCAACAATAAAATCCATACATACAAAATTTAAAAGCAGAATTAAAATCAAATTAAATAGTTTTGGCCCAGACAAATTAAAACTCCAATCAATTTAAAACCAATTTTAAAATTTGAATATATAAAATACTAATAAATATTAAAAATTAAAAATTCTTTTATAAAAGAGGGAGAAAATTAGGCCAGGCTCGCCTGGTGAAATAAAAAGGTCTTTAGAGTGCGGCGGAAGGTGCGCAGATCCGGGATCCTCCATAGTAGGTCCCCCCACAGAGAAGGCTCTCCCCCTGGGGGCCGCCAGTCGGCATTGTTTGGGCAATCTGGGTGTCCTCCTGGATTCACAGCTATCTTTAGAAGATCATCTGACAGCTGTGACCAGGGGGGTCTTCGCACAGGTGCGCCAGCTGCGCCCTTTCCTAGACTGGGATGCCCTTGCCACGGTCACCCACGCCCTTGTTACTTCTCGGTTGGACTACTGTACCGCCCTCTACATGGGGCTGCCCTTGGGATGCACCCGGAGGCTACAGCTAGTCCAGAATGCGGCCGTGCAGGTTGTTTACGGGGGCTTCTCGTTACTCCCGTGTGACACCTCTCCTGCACGAGCTGCCGGTGGTCCTTCGGGTCCATTTCAAGGTGCTGGTGCTCACCTATAAAGCCCTACATGGTTTAGGCCCGGGGTACTTGCAGGATCATCTCCTGCCATTCTCCCATCGTCCTGTGCGCGCCCACAGAGCGGGCCTCCTCAGGGTGCCGTCAGCTAGACAATGTCGGCTGGCGGCCCCCCAGGGGGAGAGCGTTCTCTATGGGAGCGCCGACCCTCTGGAATGAATTGCCCACCGGGCTTAGGACAGCCCCTGACCTCCTCTCCTTCCGCCGCGAACTGAAGACGTGGCTCTTTCATCAAATGGGCTGACCCGTTTGGGGGGATTTTTACATTGAAGTAATTATTATTAATTTTTAATTGGATTTTAATTTTTATGTAATTTTTGAATTTGTTGAATGTTTTCTTTGTAAGCCGCCCTGAGTCCTTTGGGAGAAGGGCGGCATATAAATTAAATAAATAAATAAATAAATAAATAAATAAATAAATAAATAAATCTATTCCATTCCAGACAAGTGGTTGTCCAAACTCTTTTTAAAAACCTCCAGTGTTGGAGCATTCACAACTTCTGAAGACAAGCCATTCTACTGGTTAGTTGATCTCACTGTCGGGAAATTTCCCCATAATTCCAGGTGGCTTCTCTCCTTGATTCGTTTCCATCCGTTGCTTCTTGTCCTGCCTTCAGCTGGTGCTTTGGAGAATAGGATGACCCCCCTCCTCTTTGTGGCAGCCACTCAAATACTGGAATACTGCTATCATGTCCAGAGGTGGTATTCAGCTGGTTCGGTCTGATTCAGGCAAATATTGGAAAACTGCTACCATATCACCTCTGGTGCTTCTTTTCACTAGACTAAGACTGTTCTGACCTTGGCTTCCTTAGAAATTAAACAGCACAAACTTAGTCCTGGCAAGCCTCTTTAATTCATATGGCTGTAAATTGCTTTCATTTACAGTCCCCAAGGCTTGCTAATCAGTCTTTCAGAGGAAGGTTAACAACACCCACCTATCTCACGTGGAACGCTGCCAAAGAGCTAATTTCCAGACGCAGAGCAAGGCCAAACTTGGCACAGAGTCACAAACAGAAGTTTCAAATCTTGAATTGGCCAGATGAACTAATTGTTTCCTGCCAAAGCTCATGTCCCGTTGGCTTCTCTTTTATGTCTTGTGGGAGGGGCCAATCATCTCCAAGCCTTACTCCCAAGGCGACCCTGTTTCCTTAATTGTTCCTGTCTCCTGGCAGCTCTGCGCATGCGGACACTGGGAACAGGCTCATGCTGTTCTTCTGCCTCACTGATGACAGACTTCGGAGACTCTGGAGGCAGCAAAGAACTACCAGCTGGCCTTGGCCCCCTCTCTGCCTCCGACTGAGAACCCTCGTCTGAGCCCTCCCCAGACTCCAGGACTGGCCCACGTTCCTCCTCAACCGCCTCACTGTCCGAATCTGCTGCCAGCTCTGCTGGCCGCTGGCGGGCCACAACAGAGACATACCCAATTCCTGCAACCGTTCTTCATATGTTTTAGCCTCCACTCCCCTAATCATCTTTGTTGCTCTTCTCTGCACAATTTCCAGTGCCTCAACACCTGTTTTATATTGTGGTACCCAAAACTGGATGCAATATTCTAAGTGTGGCATCATAGAATGGCAGTAACACTTCATGTGACCTTGATTTTATCCTTCCGTTAAGGTCTGCATAAAAACCTAGGAGCAAAATGTTCTCACCTGGTGTGATTGCAATGCTATTGCCATTCACCACAGCTTTTTCTTCCTCTTCCTCTTCTGGAGGTTCAATTCCTGTCTTTTCCATGTTGCTCACTGACTTGTTTCTTTTCCGTTTGCCTTCCGAACTGGGTGTTGCTCCTGGGAGGATCTGATCTGTGACATTTAATAGCAGTGGGACTGGCTCAGCAGGAGGCTTGGGAGTACCGTAGTAATTATCTAGGATGAAAAAAAAAAAAAAAAGAGGAAAAAAATTCAGAAAACAGGCTCAGAAAGAACTGTTTCCTATCGATTTCATTCTGTAATTATCAGCTTTCGATCCCCCAACTCAAATGTCTTTAAAATTTCAAGGGAGTAACTATATATATATATATATATCGTATATTTGTCATGAATGCGACTGCTTGAGGGCTCCTGGATTGGAGCTGAAAGGTGAAAGGGATGTAGTATGCTCCCTCCCACGTGCTGGGATAGACCAGGTGCCTCGATATATCTGTTCTGCTCTAGCTCCAGATTTCCGAGGATATTGACACACGCCAATGGTCCTTATCAAATTTATTAAGTAGCAAGAATAAACAAGACCGACAAAGGTTGGCAACCAGCCCAGAAAACAAGATACAATAAACCAAAATACTCTGATAATAAATATGAGTTGTTTCCAGCAAGAAACTTACTAACTGCGTGTGACTTAAATAGGCTAAGGGAGTGGCCAATGATCCTCAAGCCCTACTCTCGAGTAGACCTCCTCCTCCTGAGTAGCCACTCCTGCCTTTTGGCAGCCTTGCGTGCCCGAGCATTGAGGAGAGGCTCCTCCACTTCACTCTCTCCACTGGAAGGAGCCTCTGGAGGTTCTGAAGGCCCTGGCTGAGTCTCTGCCTCTGGCACCACATCCTCTTCAGCCTCCTCGCTGTCCGACTCGAGCGCCGGCTACGCAGGCTGCTGGCGCGACACCATACCAGCCTCCTCTTCGTCGGGATCAGCCATGATCCACGCAGGGCCACAACAATATCTATCTATATCTATATCTATATCTATATCTATATCTATATCTATATCTATATCTATATCTATATCTATCTATCTATCTATCTATCTATCTATCTATCTATCTATCTATCTACTTGTGGATAGAAAGATGCACTTTGGTGAGGAACGGAAAGCCTTTTTACTAAAACAATTGCTGTTACAGATAGCTACTAGCGTTCAAATGTATGGTTTGTAATCTCTCCCCTTTGATTTCTTGTTTATTTGGGCATCGATAACCTCTTATTCTGCTCATAAAACTGTCTGATGGAAAATAAAACCATCCAAAATACAGCATTTGTAGTAACACCACCACAGGGGTGAAATGCTACCGGTTCACACCAGTTCAGTCGAACCGGTAGCAATGGTGGCACTTGGTTCGGCGAACCGGCAGTGGCGGCAGCGTGCGGCTTCGCCCACCTGCCCGGATGTCATTACTTCCTGGTTTTAACCAGGAAGTAACCTGTTTTTGACCTTCTGCACATGTGCAGAAGGCTTTGCGCATGTGCAGAGGGTCCAAAATAGCATGTATGTGGTACGCGCACTTCCGAACCGGTAGGGAAGGTAAGCAGATTTCACCCCTGCACCACCACCACCACCACCAATAATATGTCTATTCCAAGTCCTTGGAAAGGACTTGATAGGCAAAAATGCCAAATCCAATCTGAAAATCTGGCTGACTGTGTGATTTCTCCTCCACCTCCTCAGGATGACAAAGTAGCAATAATGATGCATTGGAAGTTGTGCAAGAAATACCATTTGCCTGCAGGCAGTGGTGGGATTCAGCCGGTTCTGTCATGTTCGGGCAAACCGGTAGCGCCGACTGTGGTAAGCCCCGCCCACCCGAACGGACGTAATGTCATCCTATTTAGCCACATTTTTGAGGCCATACACATGCGTGGGAGGTGCATGAGCAAGCAAAAAGCATGTGTGAAAGGTCAAGCATGCGCGGAAGGTGGGCGCTCACATTTGCGAACCGGTAAGGAAGGAAAGTGAATCCAACCTCTGCCTGCAGGCAAGAATTGGTAGGACCATAAAGTAGAGAAAGTCATGGAAAATGAGGAAACTAAATGGGGCTTTAGACCAGAGGTCCCTAACCCCTGGTCTGTGGACTGGCAGTGGGCCACGGCATGCCAGAAAGCAGGCTGCACAAATAAACAAAGCCCCATCCACTGGATGCAGGCAGCATTTGAAACCACCCCCCTCCAGTCCGTGGAAAAACCTGTCTCCACGGAACTGGTCCCTGGTGTCCCAAAGGTTTGGGGCCAATTTTTGTGACCTAGGCTTCCTGAGTCATTAAAACACACGAGTAGTCCCAAAAACCTCGTTTATTGCAACAGCTGTGAATTACGTTCATTCACAGCTGAGTCCCAATTAGTTGCAAAAAGTCCTTCGGGAGAAATCCTTCGGGATAATCACCAACCTTTATCTCCCTTGACACGCTGCCAAAGATCTACTTGGCAAAGCCACACGGATTCCAAAATCAACCAGAGATGCCGACTGGGAACAGAATGAATAACGTTGCTTTCCTGCAAAGGGTCCACATGCCTTTGCTCCTCTTTTAAGCCTTATAGGAGGGGCCAATCATCTCCAGGCCTTATTCCTGAGTCGTCCCTTTTGTTTTAACTGTTCGTGCCTTCTGGCAGCTCTGCGCATGCACGCACTAGGAACAGGCCCCTCCTGTTCCTCTGCCTCTCTGATGTCCGACTCTGGAGGCTCCGGAGTCTGCACATCACTCCCTCTGCCTCCAATGCAGAGCCCTCGTCCGGGCCTTCCCCAGACTCCAGGACTGGCCCATGTTCCTCCCCAGCCTCCTCACTGTCCGACTCCGCTGCCAGCTCCGCAGGCTGCTGGCGGACCACAACATCACCGCTTTAGACAATTCAAACTGGCAGGCTCCTGCCGCATAATACTCCAGACTTAACAATTGTCGATAAGACAGATAAAAAAAGTCTGGATAATGGATGGGGCAGACTCTGGAGACAGCATAGAATAGAAAGCATAGACAGCATAGACAGCATAGAATAGGAAGAACTGGAGAAGACAAACAAAACCCGAAGACTTGAAAATAGAAATAGAAAAACGGTGGCAAAAGAAAGCAAAGATATAGCCAATAATAATAAGGGCCTCGGGTGCAATCCCAAAACAACCAGAGCACCATTTGAATATCATCGGCATTGACAAATCCACCATCGGTTAATTGCAAAAGGCAGCTGTACTCGGAACAGCTGACATCCTGCAGAGATATCTTTAACACCATCAAACATCCACATCTGTCGATCCCAGGTCCTTGGGGAGGACTTGATAGGTGGATAAAAATGCCAAATCCAGGGTGAACATCTGGTTGATTGTGCAACGAACCGTAATAACAATAAATCACACTCCAACACCAATTCAAAAATAATGGGAATCATTTAATTAAGCAGACATTTGAACAACAAGAAAAACTCCCCACAATTTATAAAAGAGGCTGAAAAACAGCAATTATTTGGTTTATTGTTATTATTTTTTAATTTGACGGGAAGTCTTCCAACAGTGTTGGATAACCATCTGTTATGGATGCTCTAGGCCAGGGGTCAGCAACCTCTGGCTCTGGAGCCGCGTGTGGCTCTTTCACCCCTCTGCTGCGGCTCCCTGTCACTCAAAATACTGTATTCGTCACAACCACCAATGTGCGACACCCTCCGGCCCACGATTTATTGAGCTTTTCAACCCCCAGTAGGCCAACCATGGATGAATCCAAGAAAAGAAAAGTTTCAGAAGGAAACAGAAGGTTTAATTCAACTACATATGCTAGTTTTGTGGACGCTCAAGAAATAGTCAGGCACGGGAAGGGTTTTGTGGCTCCCGGTGTTTTCTTTTCTGTGGGAAAACGGGTCCAAATGGCTCTTTGAGTGTTTAAGGTTGGAGACCCCTGCTCTAGGCTCTTGAATTACAAGATTCGTGGACTACAATTCCCAGAATTTGTCCCACCAGCATTCTGGCTGGAGGAATTTGGGGAGTTTAAGTCCATGCATCTTAAAGTTGCCAAGGTTGAGAAACACTGATCTAAAAGAACAACAGAACAACAGAGTTGGGAGGGACCTTGGAGGTCTTCTAGTCCAACCTCCTGCTCAAGCAGGAGACATTGTACCATTTCAGACAAATGGTTGTCCAATTTCTTCTTAAAAACCTCCAGTGATGGACCCACAAAGTCTGGAGGCAAGTCGTTCCTACTAATTAATTGTTCAACTAATTGTTCAGTTTCTTCTTAAAAACTTCCATACCCCCAACTTCTGGAGGCAAGCCCTTCCATTCAGGGGTGGGGCTGCTGAGGGTTCGCAAGGGTTCGGGAGAACCTCTAGCTAAGATTCTGTGCAGTTTGGAGAACCCCCAAATCCCATTCCTGGCTGGCCCCACCCCTCCCACCCTGTCCCGCCCAGGAATCCCCCCATTTTGGATGCAGGTAAGTGCAGGGCATGCATGGAGGCTCGGGGAGCAGTGGTGGGTTCCTCCCGGTTCGGTCTGGTTCGGCCGAGCTGGTAGCGGTGACGATATGATGTCACCGAAGCGGTTCTCCCCCCCGCCCTCCCACCCACCCACCCACATTATTCTTACCTTTTATTTGGTCCCACCCCCAATCTATTGCTGCCTCCAGAGTCCCAGCTGATGACTAGAGGGAAAAAAACTGTTTAAACTCTTGCCGCAGGGCTTCAAAGGGCCGCCCTACAGCTGATCAGTGTTAAAAGCAAACAAATGAGTCGGGTTGTAAGTGCGAGGACTGGTCGTAAGTGCGAGGACCTTCCAGAAATGACTCTGACCAGCTAGCCACGCCCACCTAGTCACATGACCTCCAAGCCACACCCACAAAATAAGCCACGCCCACAGAACTGGTAGTAAAAAAATTTAGAATCCACCCCTGTCGGGGAGGGTGAAAAACGGGCCTACTGGAAGTTTGGGAAAGCCAGAAACGGGCCCATTTCCAGCCTCCGGAGGGCCTTTGGAGCCTGGGGAGGCCGTTTTGGCCCTCCCGGAGGCTGGAGAAAAGCCTCCGGAGCCCAGGGAGGGCAAAAATGCTACCGCCCCCCATTGTGGTGTAGGAGGCTGACTAGGCCACGCCCACCATGGCGACGCCCACCCAGTAACCGGGCAGAGAATCGCTTGCTAAAATTTTTGAAGCCCATCCCTGGTTCCATTGATTCATTGTTCTCACTGTC